ACTTTTATGTTAATTATCCCGAGAGAAAACTAAGTGTCCTGTTAACACTTTTTGCAGGAATTTACTGAAGAATATCCACTCAGCTCATTTGGCAATCTATGCATTAGCATGGTGCAGAATATAAGTTAACAAATCCACAGCTTTATGATTTACTCTGACTTTCTGAACTGAACTAGGATTGGACTGATTGGTCTAAATGATTCCTTCTAACTCTATGCTTCTAAATGTCAAACCTCTCTCTCTGTTTCTGGGGGAAATTAATTTCTTTTTTAGCACCTGCAGGAAGTGTTATCTTGAGTATTATTTCATATCTTTCAGCCTAAGGTATGTTTGAAAAAAAACCCATATGAAATGAATTACTCTTAGACATTAAAAATATGATATGAATGAAACTTCAAATGATGTAATCGTATATTCATAAAATATTATTTTGTATTGTAAAAATCCCTTTTCATAAAAACATTTCAGAAAAAATTGCATACTTTTTCCTTGCATCTTTCTAAATTGTACAAAGTCATATTCCTCTCAGAAGTTGTATAAAACTACAAATAAAAATTAGTACAAAATTAACCTGTCACTTTTTATGTCAGTCAATATCATATGTGCATTAAAAATAAACAAGAATGATTTTCTCCCCTCTCTATCCTACTTCACAATTATTATTTTTTTCAATTGAGTTTTGTGAAATACAACTTGATTTACTTTTAATGGAAGAAGAACCATTTCACAAAGATGTTTTTTCCCCCTGACGGGTATCTTTTCAATGCCATAGTGAATGCAAAAAAAACATATGATTATGGTATTTACTTTTCCATTATAGTGTCCAGATCAAGTTGTGGGATTGTAGCCTACTATTTTGAAGCTATTAAGTTTTAAGCAGCACAATGCCCCTTTCCTTTCAATTCCTTTTGAAGACAATGCACACCCTTTGGTGGGAAGTGATGTCATAGCAACAGCCTGTAAATGTCCATTAGCAGCTGTCATTTCATGGAATTATCTCTATATAGTAGATTTTACACAACACACACATACACACACGTTGGTGTATGTACATTACATGTTTATATAATATTACTGTCATCTAAAATAAAAAAAATAAAAAAAAATGAAACCAGACCCACATAGCCATTGGCTGCATTTTCTTTCATTTGATGTAAAAGATACAAGCAACATATTTTTTAGCTTGGCTAAAAACATTTGCTACAGGAATGCAACTCTTTAGAAATTATTTGGCATGACCGAAGGAAAAAAAACAATTAAACATTCCATCCAGCTCTCTCTTTTCCTTTTCCCATTCCCCTTTTCCTTTCTCTGCAACATCTGAAAGGAAGATACAAGTAACCATTAGAGAAAAACATAGTTATGTATCTACTATCCACTCATATGGCTTTCTATATGGATCTACCCAACTAGTGTTGAACCTGAAGCTAATTTTTTTGTTTAATACTTTATAAACAATGGCAGAGAATCATAATTTGGAAAAAAGATACCCCCCCATACTTTGAGGCTATATAATATAATTATTATTAATTTCTCCAATACTGTGTAGTGATGTTTTGGTACAACTTACAGGAAATGACTGTTGTCAGCCAATAAATCTAAGTAATTTTAATAAATGGTCCAATAAAATTTCTCTTTATTATATGATTAACTTTCCCTTTGATTTCTGTGGGCCTGAACTGTGATTAATTTAGTTTGGAGATTATATATATAATTGTGTGTGTGTGTGTGTAAAGGTGAAGGTTCCCCTCGCATATATGTGCGAAGATCCAGCGCTGTCCAAAGACGTTTCTGTGGCCGGCATGACTAAATGCTGAAGGTACACAGAATGGTGTTTCCTTCCCACCAAAGGTGTTTCCTATTTTTCTACTTGTATTTTTACGTGCTTTCGAACTGCTAGGTTGGAACAAATAATGGGAGCACTAGGGATTTGAACCAGGGAACTGCCGACCTTTGTTATCCACAAGCTCAGCATCTTAGCCACCATTATTTTATATGTCTGTCTGTCTGTCTGTCTGTCTGTCTGTCTGTCTGTCTGTCTTTGGTTATTCGGGTTTTCTCCCGTGTAAAATTGGAAGCGTCTTGCCAATGTTCCGACAAAGTCTCATTAGTCATCTTCAGGCTTCGTGCTTCCAGGAGCAATGTGAGATCTCGGCTGTTTCTTCCTTTTAACTGCCAGTGGGGGTTTGATAATCAGAGAAGCCATCGAGATAGAAAAACGCCCACACAGCATGAACAGGCAGAACGATACCTCACTCCTGCCAGGCATTTGGAAGCCTGCCCTTATTGATAAAAGAGTCCCTAACATGAGGAATGACACCAGGCCCACACTCACAAGAGCCACACAGGATATCACCACCAAACATCCACAAAGAAAGCAGAAAAAACCCACACTGATGATGAGGCATGACCAAGGACCAGAAGCCAGACCACAACTGCACCATTAGCGACTTTAAACCCCTCCTATCCTTACATGAAACACAACCCCCCAACCAATCAGAACACACCTCCACCCAATCAGAACACAGACAAGCTCCCACCCAATCAGCTCAAACCCCCATTGGCAGTTAAAAGGAAGAAACAGCCGAGATCTCACATTGCTCCTGGAAGCACGAAGCTTGAAGATGATGAATGAGACTTTGTCGAAAAGTCGCCAAGACACTTCCAATTTTACGCGGGGGAAAACCTGAATAACCAAACACCTACATACTAACACCAGCGAAAACGTCAGAAAATACACACACACACACACACACACTTAGATTTACAACCCCCAGTATGCCCAAATATGGGAGGAAGGTCACTACTTCCATTCTCTGTCCTTCGGCTCGTCACAAGAGACCATCCAGACAGAAACCCAATATTCTTACTGTTGCCTTTTTGTTACATTTGTTGTATTTGTGCTGATAAATAAATAAAAGGAGACTAGTATAGATCTATTTCAAGCTATTTAGCTCTTATCAGCTAGCCTAGCAATACAGCACAGGTTCGATTCCCAGTAAGGGTATGGCTTAAACCTGCCTTGTAAAACCATGAGACATAGATAACAATTAGGAAAGAAAATATGCCAAGAGAATATAATTCACTGTACCCTGAAAAGAAAAACAACAACAACAAATCATATGGGGACACCTTCCCAAATGTATCATAAGAGGTCTTCTAAATTTTTAGAACCATTACTGAAATGATGCAATGCATACATAACAATAAACTAAAACTTGGTTGTCACTCACATGGGTACAACAGTTGGAAATCTGGAAAGGTGTAACAGATTTTGTCGTAGCAGCCTGTATTTTGCATCTTTGTTTTCTTGAGATGAAAATCTTGAAAGCCATTTTTGGTCCAAATGTCATTAACACCATGAAGTTACACACATATCTCTAGCATACTGAACTCTACATTAAAAATTATAACCTCCTTCTTAGTGAGTGGTGCATTTATGCCTCTTTACATCAAGAATAACAGGCACAGAAAGCAAAACAATGTTGACCATGAAAGCCTGAATACAAGTTTGGATTTTGGAGAATATTATTTCCCACTGATTTGGTCTACAGAATATTTGGAATGATATTCTAACACATTATCAAGAAATAATGCCATTTCCCCTTATAAGAATAGATACTGAGCAAAATGAGCACTTTGTCATAATCTCATAATAATATAAATCCATTTTATGTCACCAGGCCACTGGCTCATATACCTCTATCAATAAAAGCAGTTATTCAAAGTGTCAGACATTTTCCTACCACTGTTAATCTTTTACTGGAGATCTAGGGCTGAATTTAGAACTAAGGGCATAGATTTTTTCCCCTCTCAATTACACAGGGTGGACAACCACTAGCATTGCAGATGATAATTGGCTTTCAATTTCCTTCAAAGCTACAATAGCAGATTCTCTATCTCCTTAATTTTTCTTATTTTTTCCACTGATTTTCTGCGCTCATTTTTTTTCAATTTATCCTAGATTATCCTTTTTCCAATTATAGGTGCTATCCTGATTCATAAGCTTCAATTCCAACATTGAAAATTCTGAGAAAGGTTTATTCTCTGTTCCTTATTTCTTAGATATACCACAATCATATTATGAATTTTTTTAAAGGAATGGTGTAATTAAAACCATACTGGATCAAACCCAATGCTCAGTAGTGACCAAATGTGATCAATTAGCCTTAAGCAGAAGATGAAAGCAATTGCAACTTGTATAAGCACAATGTGTCTGACACTAGAAATAATAACAGGATTTTTTTAACAACAGATAGCTGTCAAGACAGACCCATTTAGGAATTTGTCATCTTAACATTTCACTTTAATATTTCATTAGCCAAGATAGAAGTATTATCTCCAGAATTTGTGTTTTGTTACTAGTGCAAGCAATCTAAAAACTTGCATCAAATTAAATCAGAGAAGATTGCCAGTCAGTAGTGCATTATTAGAGTTTAAAAGACCAACATATTAAGCTGGGTAGTGTGTGTTCTAAGACTAATGTTTGACTCAAGTTTCAATTTAAAATGGGTAAAGCAGCCAAAGGGCTGACAATAATTCTTAATTTGAGTCTGTTGATTCCCAGTTTTGATGACCAAAGAAGAGCCTAACAATTTCTGGAACCACTACAGATTTTAACACTTTCCAGAAAATCAATGACAAAAATGCTCATAAACACCTCTGTATTTCTAGGATGTCTGGTGCTGAAGCAGCAGAGGCCTAGCCAAATGCGACTTTAACCTGAATTATGCTAAACAGTGCAATTTGAATCTAAAAGCATTTCCAGAAGATAATGAGCTGTGTTAAAATCAACTGAAAAGATCATACTGCTCATTCCGTTATGACTTGATTTGTGTAAATTCAATATCTTTCCCTATAAAGGCTTTTAAAAATCCATTAATAAAATGTAGTTCTGGCTTCACAGCTGACAAACAGTCACCTCCCACAGCCAAGAATAATAATGAAAATTTACAAACCAGACATTAGAAGCAGAATATTGACTGAAGTCTGATTTGGTGCCTACCTGTCTACAGGTGAAGACTTTGAATTGCGTCCTTTCTTTACTTGGGCATATAATGCTTCTATTGATGATGCTTCCCCTGGGCTCTGTGGTCTACTGCTAATTGTGCTGCTACTTATGGAGGAATATGAAGGAATTCCAGCATACATTGATTCAGAATCACATGTATAACTCCTGTTTAAATCATGGATCTCAACATAATCTCGTTCCCGGGCTTGTCTTTCACGAAACTCTCGGGTCTTGGCTTGTATTCTGGAAATGAGAAATAAGTTTGAAAATAGGGTGAGAAAACAATTATAATTCATGGGTAACTAAAATTTAAATGGATAAAAAAAATAGCTTTAAGGTCTAAATACTTAAGTACTGATATGCATGGGGTTTTTGCAGTGCAGTTCCTTATTTCTTAAAAATTATTAAAAAATTAAAATACCATATTTTTGGAGCATAAGACGCATCTTTTTCCCTCAAAAAAGAGGATGAAAATATGAGTGTGTCTTATACACCAAATACAGCATTTTTGGCCTCACAAAATGCCGCCCCCTTTGCAAAAATGGTTGTGCATAGCATTTAGGAGGCGTCCAGAGTGCTCCTGGGGGTTGGGAAGGGCAAAAATGAATGAAAAATGGCCCTTTTTACTCCTTTTTGCCCCCCAGCCGCCAGGAGCACTCTATAAACCTCCTAAAGGCTATGCATGCCCCCCCTTTTTTGACAAAAAACGGGATGTTTTGGGGAGGTCTGCAGAGTGCAAAAACTTTTTTTTTAATTTGCCTCTTCAAAATCTTGGTGTGTCTTATACTCTGGTGCATCTTATACTCTGAAAAATATGGTAATAGACATGATGGATAATTTGCCAGTTACACAGATTTGCATATAGCTATATTGATATTACTTTGCCTAATTATGCACTGAGCAAACCATTGGATTACTGAATGCAATATTTTTTTTAAAAAAAATAGATTGCTTCAGCGCAAGAACCCTTGAATATTTCTCCCATGCTATGTGGACATGAATCATAATGTTATAAGAGCTTTGAGACCATTTCACATGGTAATTGTTAATCATTTCTGTTTACATCGTTATGTATTCCACACTATATCACACTGTATCGCTATGGTTGCCACAATCATTTTATGAAAAGAATATGGTTATGGCTTTATCTTATATTTATCCTAATTCTGCTCTTTATCCATTCAATTTTTTTCCATCTTTCAGCTGCCCTATTGTACTTTTTTATCAGGAATTCAGAAGGATTGTATTGATCTGATTTATATGGAAAATTTTCAACAGAATGCATGCAAATACACATAAATATTACACACTGGATATCACAAAAAGTATTAACACTGCATTCTTATCATGCAAACATTCTTATAGATTGCTCAGTTTAGCTCTAGATGCATAAAGATATCATTCATACAAACAGGGCAAAACTAACCAGCTATCTATATTTTATATGAGAAAAACAGTCAGGTAGGATACAAAATCATCATTTCAGATACAAGATTAAATTGCAAGAAATAAGAAGATTCTTGACCAAAGAGATATGATAAAAATACAACAATAAAAGTCCTGGAAGGATCAATGTTGAGTGGCTCTATGTCTGTTTATGGAATGTAAAGTTAAGATTATCTTACTATAATATTATACTAATATAAAACTTTGTAGAATATGTTAAATGTAGCAGCTTTAGCCAAATGTTAAATTTATAATCTGCACATATTTGTCTACCTAAATTGTATAAAAATGACTTTTTATAGTGTAATGTGCTTAAAAGTTCTCTTCCAAATGGTTTGGGAAATCAAAACATCTTTGTTTTAATTCCTTCCAAAACATTAATCTACTATAAGCATAATCATGTGTTACAATTATTTTCTTGTAAGAAAAAAGAAATTGATTTATATAAGTCAAGCTACCTAGAAGAGCTGATATTTATAGTAATTTCTCCATATGTGATCAGAAGGATTCTCAAATTTGGCTCCTTTCTGACTTGTATAGAATTAATTCTTAATTGGTAAGTAAACATATCACCAAAGAAAAGGCAACTAGATACTCCTTTTGGTTCACCAAAAATGTCTATTTATGTTGGTGGGTGCCCATTTTTGCCCTATTTCAAGACAGGTCAAATTGTTCAATACAACCTGCTCCTTCTTATCATTCTTGGTTACTAGCCAGACTATCATTAAATTATAAATCATTAAATTTAATTAAATTTCATAATCCCTGGTACTGCAGCATTTTTTCCTTTTTGACTCCATTTCATTTTTGCACATCTATCTACAAAGCATTGTCTCAGTATAAATCTGTGTCTCCAAAAAAGTACCAGATAAATTCCTTGCAGGCTACTAATCTACTCTCCAAAATCAAGGTCTGAGTTGACAGCCTAAAAGACCTGGCTGTGATTAACATTAGACATATGTATGGGTTTCAAACAGTTGAATCCATTTCATACTTTTAATTTACATAATTCTATTTCATAAACTTGCTAGGTTTTTAAAATGTATTATTAGCAAAGTAATGGAATAACGTAATTATTTGAAAAAAATAATATACAAGAAGCCCTTAATTTACAACCACAATTGAGTCCAAAATTTCTCTTGCCATGTGAGACATTTGTTAAGTGTGTTTTGTCCCATTTTAGCACCTTTCTTGCTATAGTTGTTAAATGAATGATTCCACTTGTTAAGTTAGTGACATAGTTGTCTGGTTTCCCCACTGACTTTGCTTAGCGGAAGGTTGCAAAAGATGAGTATATGACCCCTGGACTCTAAATAGGAATCAGTTGCCAAGCATCTAAATTTTGATCACATGACCATGAAGATGCCTTAAGTATAAAAAGTGGTCATAGGTCACTTTTTCAGTGCTGTTGTAACTCTGAACAGTCACTAAATGAACTGTTATAACCAGTTCATACAAATGAACTGTATCTCTTTTTATTTCCCATGAGATCTGAAATTCTAGGTAGTAACTCTAATTTTTCTCAGTTCTGGTCAAGATGTTTGGTCATACTTTGGCATACATTTTTTACTTAATGTTTATTGAATGAATCTGCAAACTTTATCCTTTAAAATTCAGAAGTTTAAGAATTACAGTAGACTTCCTTCTACTATCAAATCTAATCTAGACCATAAGAACTATGCAAATATTGTGCTTCACAGAAATTAAATGCAGATTTCCCAGACTGAAAAATCCCCAAATGAACTCCAATTCCTTGGAAATTCTACAAATACACAAAGTGTCTTGTTGTTGATGCTGTGATTCTATTTGACGCTTTAATAGTTCCAGATGGCCTTTGTTGATGTATAGTATTCTATTCTTTTATCATGACCTCTTGGCTCAGCAACTATCTAAAAAGTGGTACTATTGTCTTTTTAAGAACTTGTATTCCTTGCATTAATTATTTGTTTTCTTCAATTTTCATTGACAAAATGAACATAATCAGTCTTCTCTTTTACTTCTATACATAAAACTAGAAGAGAGGTGTTAGCTAGCTATTTGTTACTATCCACGTTATAATGAATGGAAGAGTCATTTGAGATACACACACACACACAAACACACACACACACACACACACACACACCAGGTAGTTTCCTTCATGTATAAAGCAACTAAAAACAAACTGGATCAGCGTTAACCCTTATCGTTGGTGTGTATGCAAGTGTGTGCGCATGCGTGTGTAATCTAAGCCCACTAAGTTATGTATCTCCCAACTTTAATGTATGTTTTCAAAATGTATAATTTCTAAGATTCACTGCTTTGAAGTAATAAATATTCACAGTTTAATGAATTATTTGTCCTTTGCCATTGTCATAAATAAAACACTTTGCATTTACATAGACAAAATATTAAATAAACGGATGCTCTAAATAAAGTAATAAGGTTAATTTCCTTCCTGCTGTCACTAAATTCATGTTAGCAGCCTCTCTTCAGCTTGACATCAATTAATGATTTTAATTCCACACTCTTGTCACTATACTCACTACCCTTTCCTCTAATTAAAATGGATGATGCATGATGTAGAAAAGAAACACAAGACTTCTATTCTTGTTGTAACATTTCTATTCATTATACTTTGCTAAAGAAAAAAAATATTGGAATTTGAATGGAACTAAAGAAATAGGAAGAATAATTGTATTACTACTAAGAAATGCAGGGATTTCCAGTCACAGGAGAACTGGCAGTACTATGCAGAATATTATCAAATCCTTAGAACAAATTACCTAAATGTTTGCATCTGTCTACATCTCATTAAGTTTCCCAGATCTTGAGGATGATTCCTACAAACTTTCTTAGCAGCACTTACTTCCTTCTAGGATGTTCTTTTCACTTCCCAATCTAGCATATAGGCCATGTATTTCTAAGCCTGTTTAAGGCTTAGGTTTTTGGCTATTACTGATGCTACTTAGGTAATAGCATATACATAGGTATTAGCATATGCAGATGTAGACAGACAGACCAACACCATTGGCCTAGATTGACAGACAATATTGTCTATCAACAAAGAGCTTGAATCAGGGTGAATAGAAATCAGTAATTTTTTTTTAAAAAAACAAATTTTTATTTAAATTGGACTTTTTTATTTTCATAAAATTTATTTTAATAAATTTGATTAAAATAATTTTAAATTTGGATTAAAAATCTATCTAAAGATAGTTTTCTATTTAAGATACATTAATAATTTAATTTATTCAGCATGAAATGGAGCATAGTTATGTAGCATGAGGCTGTATATTCTCCAATATTTACATTTTTGATAAACTCATTCAATAAATCCAAACTCTGCAAACTGAGATAACATGCATTGCATTGATGAATTCACACAATTTCACAATAACCATGAGACAAATCATAAAACAAAGTTCAGGAATATTCCTTTATCCCATTGTTTTGCAAATCTATGAACACTTAAAACTGTATGATTGTTTGAAGAGAAATTCATCTGTACCACCAGGCTCTAAGTGTGAGGAGAAAGGACAAGCAGTAAAAATTAAAGTGAAATCTTCTACACAGCTTATAAATATAACATTAAAGAGCATCTGTCATTTCAGATTCATCATGGCAGAGCCTGTTAGCGGGCATCCACTCATCTGCTGCCAGCCATGTCCCTCACTTTGTTGTGTCACTGCAGAATCACTAGCCATCCCATTAAAGTGAATGGGACTATTGCAGGGGTGAAATTTAGCAGGCTCTGATAGGTTCTGGAGAACTGGTAGTGGAAATTTTAAGTAGTACGGAGAACCCATAAATACCACCTCTGGCTGGTCCTAGAGTGGGAGGGAATGGAGATTTAGCAGTATCCTTCTCCCAGGAGTGGGGAGGAAATGGGGATTTTGCAGTTTCTTTCACCTGCCATGCCCACCAAGCCATGCACACAGAACCGGTAGTAAAAAAAAAAAAGAATTTCACCACTGGACTTTTGGTGAGTCAATAGCAGGTCAGAGGAAAAGCCGCCGTGGGACAGAGATGACAGTTCCTCTTTAAAAATTATGATTTAAATCCAGTTGAGTTAAATGAAGCCTTTTTACTAGTGATTAAAATCATAATTTAAATTGATTTGATTTAAATCAAATCCACCCTTGCTTGAAGGGACTTTGGACATCTTCTAGTCCAACCTTCTGTTCAAGCAGGAGACCCTATACTTTCTTCTTAAAAGCCTCCAGTGATGAAGCATCCACTTCCAAAAGCAAGCCATTCCACTGGATAATTGTTCTCACTGTTAAGAAATTTCTTCTTAGTTCTTGGTTGGATTTGTCTTTGATTACTTTTTGTTCATTGCTTCTTGTCTTGCCTTCTGGTGCTTTGGAAAATAGGCTGATTCCCTCTTCTCTGTGCCAGCCCCTGAGATATCGGAACACTGTTATCATATCACCTCTATTCCTTTTTTTTATTAGACTAGACAAACCCTATACCAGCAACTATTCTTCATGTTTTATCTTCCAGACCCCTAATCATTTTTGTTGCTTTCTTCTGCACTTTTTCCAGTATCTCTATGACTTCTTTTATAATATGGTGATATAAGTGTAGTCTCATTAAGGCTTTATTTGCATTCATTCATTTTCATTCATACATTTCCTTAATCTAAACCAATCTCTCTAAAGTTTATTTTTTTACTCTGGATAAACCTTTGCAATAATTTTCAGGTCTCAAAAAGTCTCTGCATAAAAATTAAAAATTAGCTAGAATTGTGTGATGCATGAATAAACAATGATATTTTTTCGGTGGTAATCCCTTGTTCAATTCCTATAAATCTCTCACAAACCCAGTTGAGAATGGGAGATCAATTTATGCTTGTTTGTGTATCTGTGTGCACAAAGACATACTTAAGGCCAAATAATTGGTCAGTAATAAGACTTTCAGAAGAGGTTCTGTACTAAATATCTTTTTTTAAAAATTACTCAGCATTATTTGTCCTGCCAATTTTCTGTTAAAGAGTTTTATTATTTTTGGAGCAACACTTTATAAGTTGTTTAGTAGAACCTGTACAATTTTCTTAACAATTTTCAATGTCTTTTCAAACATAAAATTGAGCATTTTGTATTGAATATTTACTTATAAATGAAGATCTTACTTAATAAATAAAATTTTAAGTATTTATTTCAGTCATTCCTTTCAATCTGTGAATTAGACATTCCATTTGGAATATTTCAGCTTCTGCTTCCATTATTATGGAAGGAATGTGAAAGGTCTACTGCAAAACTAGTGTGTGGAGCGCCCCCTTCTGGCTTGGGAAATGTGAACAGCAAAGGGAACTATAAGTAAGATTGCAACACATGAAATCTATTAAATGCAAAATGCAATGCTGTTTTAAAACATGCCAAAGCACATTGGCATTTTGTAAATACACACAGGTATTTTAGCTTCTAAAGACTGATGCAGAAGATTCAAAATTTAAGCAGAAAATGCATTCAGGCTTGTATATTCTGCTGGAGCTATTTATTGGAAACTAAATGCTACATATTCTAAAATAAGATACAAATGGCAAATAACAAAACATACACACCTACATTACACAGATATTTTGTTTTAAGTTATTTAACTTAAAATGCAGCTAAGGGAATTATCTGTGCAAAATGAAAGTAACAATTGTTTAGAACATTAAGTTCATGTACTTTTCAACTCTCTTTTTCAAAGTCTTCCTTAAGGAAGCCATTATGATTTGATACTGCCAAAGGTCTTTAGCATTCAAGCCCCAAAATATTGATGATTAGATAGCAATCTTAAGTAGATTTTATAAGAATCACAACCATTTTTATGACAACATAATGGAGGAAAAAAATACCAACAGGTGGATATGTATCAATATGTAATAGTTTTCATTACATATATTACATCCTTATGACCACAAGTGGGTCCAAAATTTCAATTGCTAAGCAGTCTAGTTAAGTGAGTTTTGCCCCATTTTACAACCTTTCTTGTCACAGTTGTTAAGTGAATCACTGCAAAGTTAAGCTAGCAACTTGAGTAGCTTTTCCTTTATATTTTGTGATCTTGTCTGAAGATTGCAAAAGGTAACCAACCACATGACCCTACTGCAATCATCATAAATTTTTTTTTAATATAAACAAATGCCAGTTGCCAAATGCCAGAATTCTGATTACGTGACCATGTATAGGACTGCTGCAATGATCATAACTCTGAAAAACAGTCGTCACGTTTTTGTGAACAGTCACTAAATGAATGGTTATTAAGTCACTGTAACTATCTGTACCGTTCTAACATTAAAATGGCTTAGAAGTGGCTTCTCATAGTCACTGTAAAATTTACACGCATGAGCGTAGTTCCTGCACACCCATTTCATAGCAAAAAAGTATTTGAGTTTAATATTGACTCTCGACTTTTTTCTCCAAAATAATAACTGATAAAACAGTAATTTTTAACAGTTAACAGTAACAGCCACTGCCAATTTAACGGTGACAGATTTATAGTAGCAAATGGCTTTGATTGATTCTTAATAGAAACATCAATTTTTAAAACACATTTTAAAAATGTTTTGTACTTGTCTAAAAGTATATTTATACTATATAAATGTGTCTAGCATGAACAAAATTATTATATCAGTAAATTATGCTCACAAGGTGGATGTATGATATTTATTTTGGTAAACTTGCACATCTAAGCAATTTTATTGAAAATTTCCTTTGGTTTGCAATTATACATCAAGGAGGAGATTCTTGCTTTTTTGTAGTATACACAATAAAGATATTGGTTCTGAACCAAACAGCAGTCTCTCTATTCAATTCAATTCATTCAACAGAAAATTAAGCTACATTAATTTGCTTGGCTTCTAATCAATGGGAATGAAAAACTTTCAAGGCTTAGAGCAAAATACTACGAGAGCAAAATACTATTAAAATGATAGAGTCAGGGTAGAATAATTTTATATAATTGTGGCCTTGATTGATTTTTTAATGGAGCATCCACTTACTCTCTGACCCTGTGGATTTTTGTTGCATTTTTGCAACACACAGTAAATTCATTATATCCAATCTGGTCCCCCAGTATATTTCATTGTTAAAGGTATAGCAATCTAAAGAGCAAGTAAAGAGATTAAATGACCTATGCCATTAAAAACAAGGAGAAACAAAAAAAAGAAAGAAAAAAGAACTCTATCTAAGAAGTTATCATCTAACAAGCATATCATGAGCAAATATAGAAGAACTTTCCCAAGGAAAGCCCAGGGTGCTTTTGCAACCTCATCTAGGAAACTGTTTTTAACTGAAATAGCTGTCTTGGATTTAAGAATTTTGATTCTTTTTTTTTCTTTATCAGTTTCAAAGTCTTTATCAGTTTCAAAGATTTATATGTATCTGATTTTTAATGGGTTCAATTATATGTTTTCAAAAATATAAAACACATATCATTTTACCATTTTGCTTGGAACTGCATTATAAAGTTAATCATCAGATTTGGTTCGTGGTCTTTATTTCGTTTTTATATTTTATATTTATATTTTATATTGTACTTATAGTGACAGAATGTTATTGTAAATCCTATGTTCAAACATGTGCATTATGAGTATGAAATGAATATTATTGTTGCAACTTTATACAGACGTCCACAAGAGCATGAATCGATTCATAAATCTCAAGCTATTTAAGCTTCTGCAAAATATCTGCAAAATATCCACACATGAAGTGAAAGTACAGGGTAAAAGGCTATTTTCTATTCACATTAGAATGTTTATAAATCATTAAGACAAGTTATTGATTATTGGAAAACTAAGCAAAAAGTTACATATAACCTGATGAACAATAATCTGACAAAATAAAAATAAAAAATCTGGAGGAAACTATTACAGCAAGAAACACTTGTTATTTATAGCCACTGTACATGGACAACGGGGGGGGGGGATCTCCAGTGGCAATATTTTCAGCATTTTTAAAATGCAAATTACAATATGGTATAGAAATCGACTTGCAACAAATGAAAATATGCAAAGATTTGGGCAAAAAAGATTCAAAATGTATTTCAATGTTACAGAAATATTTATATTTTCATAACTGTCTACGCAATCAGCTATAGTACAAACAAATAATGAGTATTCAAAGGATGATATCGTAGGGAGGTATCCATTTCTTATTTTTTTCTTTAAGAAGGCAAATGGAACAGTCATAGTTCCACTTGTCTTCTTAAAGAAAAATAAATAAATAGATGCTTTGTTACTATATCATCCTCTGAATACAGTCATTATTGTTATGTCTGATATAAATTCTACTTCCTCCTATTAAGTTACATGAGATCTAAAAAACATGTATTTAAGTCATCTGACCCAAAATTAATTCAAACGGAATTAAAATACTGCACCTAAAAGTATCAAAGATTCACTACTAAGTGTTAAATAAAAGATTAAAGTCTACCTCTCCTGTTCTTGTTTCATACGTATTCTCTCCTCTTCTGAAGTAACAGCTCCCTGCATTTTTATTTTCTCAATCTTGTCATCTTTTCGATGTTTGCCAAACCTGTTAATAACAAAATAAAAGTTCTAACTTGTAAAAATGATCAATAATTCTGTAAAATTTCCATTATTGACATAGGAAATTATGTCCTCGGTAGAAGATGACACTCACCTAATGGGATGTGAAATATTATGTTGCTTGTCAAATAAATATCAGTTTCAATTCATGAAAATGCTTATATTTTATTGACATCCCCATGAAAATTATTTTATTAAATTTGCAACCAAATATTTTTCTACTATACTTATTTACATATGAATGCAACAGCCTGTTATCATTAATCAAAATGCCCAGAGGTAAATTCTCTCTCTTTGAACATCTGAGGAATAAACTATTCTTATATGCTATATGTATGAAATACAGATACTTTATTTAGCTCTAAACAGCATTAACTTTGATTTACCAAGGTTAAGTCCTAGAAATGCGTATTTCCATCTATTTCAAAGGATAACGACCTCATCCACTATAAGCTGTTCCTGAGAGGTGATTTGAGACTACTGTCAACTTTGGGAGAAAGTAAGAACATTGGCATTATAACTATATTTTTTTTAAATGGAATATGGTCTACATCGCATGAATTTTACTTAAGGGTGAATTCTGGCCAAATTAATATAGCATGACAGCTTATTGGTACAATTGAATTCATTCCCCTATCCAAAACCTGGAACTGTATACCATGAACAATAACAGATTTAAAATCTTCCTGTCTCATTGAATGAACAAAAAATGATAGGCCACTTCATAATTTATGGCATATTCACAATACCCAATTTCTCAAGATACAATATAATTCTTTTATTCTAAGCAAACTAGAATCATGTAAAAGGAGTTGGGTAGTTATGTTAATCATATAAACAAACAAACAAAGTATCTATTTAGCACAAAGCCAGTTAGTTGGATGACCTTGGACCAGTCACTGTACCTCAGCCCTAGGAAACTGGCAAATTGTTTCCAAAATCTTGCTAAGAAAACTGCAGGGATTTGTCCAGGCAGTTGCCAGGTTCAATATATATTTGAAAGCATTTTTTAAAAAGATAATACAACTTGCTATTTGTATAGTTGAAACAAAAGCAGTTTATTTTAGGGATTTGTTTTTATGACAACTTGAAATAAAAGGTGCAGATTAAAATATTCTGCTTTTCTCAAAGTGTGATAAAATGAAGAGGGATTTCTGAAATTTTGTTCAGTTACCTGAACAAACGCTTTCAGTTACCTGCGAACTCTCAAAAATCTAGTGCTATTTCAATTCTTGGTTTAGCCCATTTGTGACAACCACATTATGACAATTTAATGTTCAAATCCAATAATCTATCCCTATACAAATGTTCTACATAGCTAAGAAGTCCAGGATCTGCAAATATCTCTTTAGATCAGTGGTTCCCAATGTGGGGCCCACACCTCAGTGGGAGGCAATTTGATTTTTAATGGGGGCAATTTGAACTTTGTTTATACCAAGTTATTGGCCTTTTAGGCTTGCTCCTTGTGAGTAGAGTTCACTTTTTGAGTAAAGTGTGAATTATATGTCATGGGCGGGAGGCATTTGGATTTTAGAGATGCTTAGGTAGGGCATGGCCAAAAAAAGGTTGGGAACCACTGCTTTAGATGATCCACAGGAGATGAAAATTTCTAATAGTTTTTTTTTCCAAAAAAGAAAGAAAATGATTTTCCTTTTCAAACAATACCACAGTTGAACTCTAACATACAAAGAAGAACCTCAGCTGACCATACAATATGTTCCAAATTCAAAGTATCCAAATAGTAAGAAGTTCAGAGCTATCCATTGATGCAAGAAGATAAATTCTAATCATTTTGTTGTAATAAGATCACAGTAAATAAAGATAAATCCCAGGAGATTACTCTTAAATATTAACAGTTCAGGAAATGAATCCCAGTAGATGAACTCATGTGTTCATATGAACACTTAAAAATAGTTCATATACAAGAAACTCTTGTTATTCAGGAAGGAGTAAATAAGCAAAACAGATTTTTATTTTCAAGTTTTATACAAGCAATGTCAAATAATGACCTGAGAGGATCCTCAGAGCAATCAAACAAACACACCTGTTTCTCCACTCCTGCAAACTGGTATGCATTTTATCTCCTTAATTCCTTAACATAATTAAGTTCTTTGTTAGGCCACTGGTAGAATTTAGTTCCCACTGCGGTAGCAATTATCTTCCAGAACTGAGTGTACTTCTCAAAGTTATCTTAGTTTTCCTTATCCACTATTTAAAAAATTAAAAGGAAGTACTTTTTCTAGGTAAATCTGAGGTCTTAGAAAACCCCAACAGCTGAGATGAAGGAGATTGAGGAGCCAATTATTGTGCATCAAATATCCATACATGTGAACCCACATACATATGTAAGGATTCCAGAATAAGGAGATGTCTCAGATACACAGACAGACTTAAAGAAAGCTTTTGGTTTACTTCAGAATCTTTACTGATGTAGGCAATCAACTAAGATGGCTTGTTCCAAACATTAATTAATCCAAATTCCCTGCAAAGGATTTTCCTATCACTTTGACAGGCAACTGACACTAGTTGACACAATTGATCTCAAGTATCATCTATCACTATGTTGTTGCTTTTTAAAAAATCTGAGGTATTGAACTCAGTGGAGAAGTAGCTAAAATGATGTTGACAGAAATCTGACAAACATGGGTTGCAATTGTTCTTTATTTTGGAACTGTTGCAAATAATTTTAAACAGAATCACCCAGGGTAGGGGAAAGAGGATGTTGGATGCAATGTTCCCTCTAAATTTTTTTCAGTGTGAGCAGAAAAGTATAGTGTTTGAGCGACACATTTTCATGCCTGAGCACCTGAATTTTTTTTACAGATGT